ACTGCTGTTGTACTGTGACCAGCTGAGTGGAGAAGATTTCTGTATGTAGCTGCAATATCTGACTCGTGCCTTAATTTAGCAACTTGATGTGCCTCCCTTCCCCTACCTATGCACTGGGCTCTCTGCATTGGTACTGCTAGTACTGTACCTCAGGGACACAAGGCTCAGCCCTGAAGAGTGGTAAATAAGAACCTCCCTCACGTTTGCATACCCCTTGAGTGACTGACAAGTGAATTTCATTATCTAGTGTGCAAACTGGTTAGTGTGCAAACTTTTATTTTCTTAAAAAATCAATTTGCAAATGTCTTGTCTTCCTGTCTCTGCAGCGCAGTCCATGGGAACTATGTTCTTATGCTTTAAAAACTGGAAGCCATGTGCGTGTTGCCATTTCTTGAGTTGGAAGTGTCCAAGAGAGGGGAAAAAATGGATAAACAAAACACTTTATATGACCTGCATGTTAAAGACAGATTCACGCTTTCTTTCCCTGGTCTTCGTCCCTGCTCCTCCCCCTCAGCCTTTCCATTTGCTTTTTTTCTTCTGGAAGATCCAGCAAGCTGAACGTGAACCAGCATCAACAGTCTTTCTAAAGAAACTCAGAAAATTAACTCTACTGTTACATTTCTATGTTATTTGCTACATGGGAATTTTTTACCCATTTTTCAAGAATAATGTACTCTTCACTACAGGATGTCTTCACTTTTACTGCCCACGTGCCACTTCAAAGAAGTATTCAAGTCCTACCCAATCCCGCCCCATTCAATCTTCCTGCCGCAGTTATGAGAAGGTAGTGTTTGAACACTGTTGGAGATCACTGGATCTTCTTGTCTCCAGGAACAGGGTTTCTGTTGATTAGATTCACTGCGTTTCTCATTCAGGTCTGTAGCAACATTGCCAATGCTGTTAATACACAGGAGCTTGGTGATCGCATCTCAAAGGTTAGTGTAAATGTGTTAGGGGAGGGGGTTGGGACTGATCAGATAGAACATACTCATTTATGATCACTCCTCTAGAGTGAGTGTTTTCAGATACACTTCTTGGGGGTTCTTTCCCAGTCCTGACAAAATTTGTCTAGTGTTTAGTAATCATGGCTATGTTGTTGGAATGATCCAAACTGTGAACTAGTCAGAGGTGGACAGTAAGAAAGATATAATGTTTTTGATGTTTAAAAAGTTTTGCTTTTGCTTTTTTAATTTGTCTTTTATGCATGTGAGTAATCAACCTGACTGACTGTGCTAATGATGGAATTAGAGGATGCCTGTTTTACAGAGGGTCTGACAGTTGGAGAGAGCAGGAGGAGTAAAAATGCTACTCGGATCGTAAGATACGGAGTGCCTGCTGGCTCAGTGTGGGGGACTGACAAGGAGTGATTATGCCTCAGCGTGTAGTGTGTGGGATGAGGAAAAAATGCTTTTGTAGCTATCTAGAGTTACCTGCAGCTTTCCAGGCCTTCTGAAATTACCTGTGCTGTTCCCTGGGTGACCAGGAAGCTCTAGCCAGTCCCCCTAGAATTCGCCAGTGTTGAAGCCAGAGAGGATTTTATTAAAGTCAGAATCGTTTTTAAAGTAGTCATTCAGATTGCATTGGGAAAGGCATGCTCAAGGTCTTATTGCCAGGCAGAAAAGCGTCTAGTTTGAAGATGAATAGGTGTGAGATGGAAAACGCCCTTTCAGGAAGCCCTGTGGTATGAGTGAGTGGGTATATCTGAAGATTAATATCAAGAAGAACGATTTGTAAATGCTCCATAAAGTACTATGTGGTTAATGTAACTTGTGAAGAATAAAATATTTGGACACTTTGTTTGTCATCCCTTTTGCCCAGATGACTGAAATGAGATCCATAAACCTGGGGCCTGGGACTGGCTGGCTGGCTTGGGCGCGCCGGGCCCAATCCCGCTCTGGTACCATGTAGTTAGGCTGTTGCAGCTGTTTCCAGCTTTGCTGAGTGCAGAGATTTTTGTGCAGGGTCAGAGCTCTGCCTTCTCAGTGCAATGACAGCTGATAGACACAACCTACATACTTGATTTACACTCCTATTATAGTCTCTGGTTCTTCATTTTCCCTGCTGAAATGCTCCTCTCTTGTGTTTTGGCAGAACGGCAGAGAGGTACTCTTTCTTTCTGCATCTGCCTCCCCAGTTCCCTCGATCTCAAGTTCTCTCTAATCTGGCTTTTGTAACCTAGCAGAAAGGGAAGGTTCAGGTGGCCTGTCTCACTGCCGGGGACTGTCAGACAGTCTGGGAGGAAAAAAGTTCAAGAATTGTCCAAAAGAAGAAAATTGCAGAAGGGGGATTTCTGCTTTTTCAGGACTCCGTTTGCCCTTTCCTTTCCCTGCTTGCTCTTTTGCACCTCTAGATCTTTTTTTTTAATGCCACTGGATTCGACACGCAGCTCCACGTGGGGAAGTGCTGCTGACGCTGTAAGGCTGTGTGGCCGTCCTCGATGGAGAAGGAGGAAAGACTGGCTGGCAGAGTGTGCCACAGGTTTTGGATAGCTGTGTGCAGCTCTTGGTAATATCTGCACCTCTGTAGCGCTGTGTCTGCGGTTGAACTTGAAGCAGAGAGTGGACAGTCTCCTTGCAGCAGAGGGGGTTTCCTTGTAGATTCTTAGTGTGGGTTTTGTTTGTTTATTTTTTGTTTTTTAACTTCTCTGCGGAGCATGCTGACAGCAAGAGAACTGATTTCTAGATTCATTTCCACTTTCTAAGGGCCTTCTGCAGTTAGCCTTTTGTGCTGTACCTGCAGTGCTGTATTTTAAATGAATGGATTTACTTTTTCCTAAATAAAAGCAGCCAAAAATCTACTCAACTATGGACTCCATGAGAGTAGCAGCTGATGGCTCTTCTTTTTCTGTGAATCTCTTCAACAACGGTTCCGCAGCAAATCTGCGGCTTACGGGTTTTCCTGTGCTCGGCTGGAGCGTTGAGGTTTAGCCGCGTGGGGCCGAGGCAGCGACGTGCCGCCACTGCTTGTGTTAGAGGTCAGCATCGGGGGGGCGTGTCTGCGCGGGGCCCCAACCAAGCTTGCGGTTCCGCATTTCATATGCGCCTTGGCATTTGAAGTCAGGACAGAAATGTCCCTTTTCCCAGAGTGCTAATTTGTTCACGTCACAGGTGGGGCAGTCGGCTGAGACTTGCTGTCGCATCTGAGCGCCAGTCCGTGTCGGGAATGGCTTATTCTGTCCCGTTATTTGTCATGCTCTTCTTTGCAGGGCTATTTTGCGGAGGAAGGAGCTGGACGGAGAGCTGGCAGGGAAACCCTGGGAAAAGGCGAGCCTGGCTGTGCCCCTCTACCCCGAAGCCCTGCTCCTCTGCCCCCGCAGGGCGTCGCCGTGAGTTTTTTTTGCCTGCCACGCTGTCCCTCCGGAGG